TTTTTTTTTTTTTTTTTTTTTTTTTTTCCGATGCCCTAGTACTGGTAGGTAGACAGGTATCAAGCCAAGTTTCAGTGTGTGTCGTAGATCTACCCGACATGACACTAACCCAATCAACCCCGGAGGGTATCACTACTAATCTTAACCATCACCGCGCGCGTCATAACAACGCGCGTTCATATTCTTGAAATTTTCTCGCCGATTTGCCCCCGGCTTCATTGGCCGAGGAAATTCGTTTTGAGTGTCACGCTAAAGCGTGCACACCCTTTCCATTTCAGACTCGCTCCGTCATGGTAGCCGACGTCGTCACAGTGTCGAATGCAAAAGCATGGCCAAATACCCTTATAAGCTAGGTTACCAGCCCGGACGTCTGGGACCCAAGGAGACGTCCGGGTTGTCCGACCGGACCACCGGCCCCGGTGGTCTGGTGACTTGAGAAGGTCCGTCCCCTGCGGAAATTAGGGGCGGGCCTCTGAGGGGGACTTTGGGCGCCTGGTGTGTTTCGTATGGTTGGGGGGGGTCGTGCTCGACCAAGCGCCCTGCAAAACGAGGTCCTGAGGCCTCAAAAAAATTGGAAACAGTAAGGCCCGACCTGGGTCATCGGACCGATCCGATCGACGGCCCAGATCGGGCCAAATTCAAATTCGAATTTGCCGATGGGCACCGACCGCCCTTGTCCGCCCCAGCCCTCCCCACTCTACCCTCGCACTCCCGCCTTTGGATGACGAGCGCGTGTGTGCGCTCGCGAGGACGCGGCACTCCAGCCCCGCCATCTGGCTCGCCATCGCAGGTGAGTTTCTCTCTCTCTCTCTCTCTCTCTCTCTCTCTCCCTCGCTCTCTCTCTCTCTCTCTCTCTCTCTCTCTCTCTCTCTTCCCCCCCCCTCTCTCTCTCTCTCTCTGTCTCTCCGTATCCTCCTCGTCGTCCTCCTCCATCGGGACCTCCTCCTCCTCCACCTCCTCCTCCATTAGGACCTCCTCCTCCTCCTCCATTGTGACCTCCTCCTCCTCCTCCATCGGGACCCTTCTCCTCCTCCTCCATCGGGGCCTCCTCCTCCTCCATCGGGACCCCCTCCTCCTCAACCTCCATCAGGACCTCCTCCTCCTCCTCCT